ATGGCGTCATCAAGTATGGCTGCAAGGGGTAACCAGAATCACCTACACAAATTTTCATTGTCATCAATAGTTTTATAGCCTTTTTAAGTTTTAAAACTTACCAAGTAGCCATGTGTTGGTTTTCCCATTGTTATAATCAGATTTTAGCTCCTGCTCTGCGACACTCACATTCCAAACAAATGAGTCATGATTCGCCCCTGGATGCCTAGCGTCAGCAAATGTAATGACCATGTTGTGATCGCATATCTGTAAGGAAACTCAGTTTGTGTATATGTATACTTGTAAAGATAGTATATCATTAACCTACCGCCATTACATTAACACTGTAAAAACCCTTGCGGTTGAGGTATAGATGGTGGTTGTCACTTCCTGGCGACTTAATACGAACGTGTGTTCCATCAACACAACCAATGACCCCAGGTATTCCGTATTTCTTAAAGAAATATTCTTTAACAGCATTTTCCTCATCGTTGTTTCTCCTAAATTTCACCCATTTCTGGCAAAAGTGGTCCTCAAAAATATTTAGACAGTCCTTAATCACTTTGGCTGCAGTTGACTGCCCCATCGACGAAATATTTTCGTTACCAACAGATTTTTGGTAACTGCCGGTGGCCAGAAATCTTAAAAAAGTCGCGAGTTTCAGCTGGTGCGATAGGTGGGTGCTTCTATGTAATGGAGCCATATGCTCTTGTAATTCATTTAAAATGTACTGGAATATTTCCTTATTGATTCGGAAATTTGCAACAAATCTAAAAAAGAATACATTGTAGCATACAAAAATTATTGGCTAATCTTGAACTTACTCAGTCTCAGGTAGTTCCATTACATTGGTGTGGTCTCGCAATCTCCTCCTCTGTATCCGCCTTTCCCTTTCTTCAGATTCCTCGGCGTCCATTAGCGCTATAGCAGCATACATTTTTTAAAATAGATTTTCCTTATATTCTTTCCGCAACACAACCAAAACACTTTTAAGCAAAACCAAAATGTAAACAATTCCGATGTTGCCCATTTAAAATAAAAAGCATTGAAATAAGCTGAAAATATTAGAAATCTAAGAAAAAATCTTTGAAAGTACATCAAAATTACATCCGGCAACATCATTCAACGTAACCGAGACGATAGCAACGTAATCGACGTAAAGGCAAGACGAAGACGAACGACAGAGTTACAAACTTGCATTCCGTGACGATATCGCCTACAGACGAATCGTTCGTGCGGCCTAACGTTCGAGATACAGAATAAGGCTGGTAAACATATGAAAGTGATCACAGTGCAAGCAAAGACGAAGACGAAGATGAAGACGTTGCGCAAGCGGTCAGCTTGAAACAGTGCGGTACTGTTTTCAAAGACGAATCGCTTGCTGTGATGAATTGTTTACAATTTATTTAAATGTTTGCAATTGTGAAAAAACGCGTTTTTCAAGAAATTGGCTATATTTTTGGCAAAATGTAATCAAACGTATTAATTGGCATTCTTGTATATTTGAAAATTGTCTGTCCGTCTTGCCGTAACACATAATACAAGTGGCGAAATTCTCCAACAGTTGTCCTATACAAATTATTTCATGAATTGCTGTTTTTTCTTTATTTTCTTTTGATTTTATCTAATAAAATGGTTTTATTTAGAAACAAATCTTCATATCATTCATCTTCCACTATGTACACTCGCCAGCTTGCCCGCAACGCAAGCAATTCGTCTTCGGCTTCGTCTTCATCTTCGTCTTCGGCTTCGCTTCCACTCTGTTTGCAACCTAAAGTTCTGAACACATTGAAAACAACGAGCTACAGACCACAGCTTCCAATTTGTCATCTTCATTATCTAAACGCTTTGTCGTTGGCGACATGATTTCTTTGAACGCGGCAGCGACATCATGAATTTGTATGAGTTTGACATAAAAGAAGAGGAAGAACCTTATCTGTCGCCAGAAAAATAGAAATAGATTTAATCTGGCCACAACCATAAATTGTAACCGCGTTAAGATATTTGACAAAGCTGAAGGCGAGCTAATACAGTGCATTCGTCGCCGGAGAATGATGTTGCATTTCACCCAAGTGGAAATTTCTTGGTGACTGGCGGCGATGACGATACAATAAGATTGCTTGATTTATTAGGTCGGCCAATTTATACACGGTAGTAGGGCACTTTAGCGGAACCAGGTCAAAATGGACGGGAAAATTATACACTAACTGGCTACTAAGTTTGCGCTGTCGCTTTCTCTCCACATGGTAGACATTTTGCTTCCGCGGGCGAGGATCGACAGGTAATTTCTGCTTTGTATGTAAAAAAATTATATAATATAAATTTTTTCCTGTATTCAACAGTTGCTCGTTTGGAAATCTAATTTGCGTACGTTTGATGCCAATAGCGCTCGCAACAAACAAGCCAGTTCTCAAAGAGTCCAAATTGATTTTAGTCATGCAACTGCTCCACATAACTCCGCCATAGACACACACCAGTTTCTGGAGTACCAAAAAGCTGTGATGAAGGTATTTTAATTGATCCACGACAATCCGTGGCATATGGAATGCGTGATGGAAAATTTCTGGTGCTTGATAGCCAATATACTACAAGAGAACCATCTCCAATCAACTTTACCACACCACATTGTCAGTAACATAAGCAACAGCAGTACCTCGTTTCTACACATGCCAAACAAAAGTAACAACAGCGATGGCCAGAGAACACCAAGTAAATATTTTTAATATTCATTTTTGTTTATCTTAAGATTTCGTTCGCGCTTAACTGCTTGGAAGGCTGCTGATGACTCTTCATAGAAAATGCATTGTTTGTAATTTATTAAATATGATGTGTACATACTTATGTATTTCTGTTTGTATTTTAAACTATGTACGTTAACAATTTACATTGTATTAAATTATTACTTGAACACGTGCAAATTGATCTGATTTTTATATACATATGTATTCTACAATTTTACTTGTTCCATTTTGTTCTTTTTATGAATTTCCATTTTAATGAAATGTATTATTTAACTATAATAAATATTAAATTAGGTGCATTCCAAATGCAAATGGTGCATTTTCGAATGCACCCTATATGAGCGTTAATAAAAAAACCGGGGTCATGGCACTTATAAGTTGTTAGCAAAAAATCATTTTAATGATTATGTTTAAATTTTATTTCGCGTTCAATAAACAATACTTATATACACCAAGAGTTCTATTTTTCTTTCACAAAAAAATTGTTATCTGATGATATTTTGAGTAATTCTTGCTGGATTTATAAGTTATTTTCGGTCCCTGAAAAAAAACAACCTATTACACTTTATTTAAAATAAAACGAGTCATTTGTATTTTCTGATAAAAATATATTTATTTAAATTCTTATTGCTCTTCCACACCACCGCTGAGGTAGCAATACAGGCGCGTTACCGATTTTTTTAAGGTGTTCGGTTCCCCAGGAGGCCTATTTTCACCCATATAAAATAAATATCATTTCCTTAACAAAAAAAAATATATATATGTAGTTAAAATATAATTAAATGCTAATCTGTTTAGCGATTTAATGTGTACAAAAGTAATACTTTTTGAAAGCTGGAAAATTAGTTGAGGATTTTCTTTGTTAAGGTAATGATGTACAAATATAAATAAGTATACAAATACATAATCAAAAATAAGAGAACGACTAAATAATACTGCTTGCAACAAAAACAAACAAAATAATACTTGTATTACAATTCAGGTACGGAATTTTACAGGTACATATTTTACAAAGTATTTACATAGTATTTACAAAACCGCCCCCAGTGACAGGCTAACAATCAAAGTAAATAATAATAAAAATAGATGTGGTGGGGATATAGGGCCTGCACTAAAAAAAATACTAGAAAGCTGCAAAGAAAACAAGCATATGAAAATATAAATATGAATATAAAAATATAAATATAAAAAGAAAGGTCTTACGCCTGTAGAAAAGATAAGAAATGTGCAAATCAATGAGCAAGGAAATGGGAACAAGGATTCGAACTTTGCAGACAGACACCCAGACTGAACCCAGGCAGACACCCAGACTAATTTGAAATGTAAATGAGAAAAAAGAAAGGTCTTACGCCCATAGAAGTGTGCAAATTAAAGAACAAGGAAATGGGCACGGAAGCTAACTACATGGGCAGCTCATTTCAAGACACCCAAATCGATAAAACCCTATTTTTCAGACGGATTCGGACTTTGCAGACAGACACTTAGACTGAAAGCGAACTCTATTGGTGTGTTACACACAAAAACTTAATGTTTTTAAAATTTGGTTGGTTCGCTTTCTTATTGAAACTGTTAACCAGAAAATAAGTTCTTATTCTTATGAAAATACATTTTAAAACATCGGGGTTGCAATTTTCGCAACAATAGTATGGCTCTACGTCTATCATTTTCTCAAATAAGATTTGGGAAAACCCAATTCTATGACAATTTGAATCGAAATTATCTGTGTAGATTTTTTCGATTTTGGACATAAACTCAACAAATTCATTGGGAGGACTAACAAGATGGCTATTACTAAATTGCTTCTCCATAGTGAAGAAGAAATCTTTTTCAGTAATTCCATCTTCAAATCTTGGTAATGGCATTAAGCAATTATGATGCTTGAAATATTTAAAATACATGTAGCCGCAGAAGTAAACAAAAGCGCATCGATGAAGAAAACTACTTTCATCAATATCAACCGAAATATCGATTTGGACATCTTGAAATGAGCTTAAACTAGGCCGGGGTAGGCCTTGAAATATTTGCCAGGAAGTATCTCTGACTAAAACATCGTCACAAGCTGTAATAAGGGTGCTATTAGAAAATGATTCCCACTTATCTTCAGGCAAGACACACAGTTCCCTTTATCTACGCATCTAATATACCCTATACCCCAGGCTTGCCTAAAGAGATATGAGAAACGCTGCGGCGTTATTCTCACATCAAAGGACCCCCCTCTACGAATATGACCAAAAAAATTTTCTATTTTGTCTTGGCATAATTTACGTGTCAATAAAAAAGTGAATTCGTTATGTGACAAGAATCGCCACAAACGACGTAAACTACTAATATTTAGGACCCAACCTTTAATAAAACTACACGTATTGGTAATATTGCGACCTAAGTCGTCGTAAACTTTAATGGAATTCAAAAACTTTTCGGCTTCGTCAAGAAAAGTAAGTTGGTCTACAGTAGCTTGAAAGGGTTGTTTGAAATTTCCTACATCCCCAAAGTATATACTATTAAAAATATTAAATAATTTGTCAAAGAAAAAGACAAATTCGGCAGTGTTAAAAAAGGAAGGGGATCTTGAACTATTTAAAAGCCCCGAGCTATAGATAGCAAACATTGCGCTTGCCACAGAGTTACTAAAGACCTGCGATGCTAAATGCACGCTCATTTTATCAAAGGTTTTAGGTCTAATATGTGCCGAGGTAAGTTTATGGGTACAGGAAATATCATATTGAGACCCTTGTTCATAGAGATGCACAATATCCATCCAATCTACAGGGCGGCCTTGAAAAGTTACTTTATTTTTCTTGTTTTCTAAACAGTTTCTAGTACTTTTGAGGAGATGCGGAGAGTCGAAAAAATATACGATTTCCTGGCCATTAACTTCGAGGAAGGGTCGTTCTCTGGAAACTCCTACAATTTTCGAAAAACTAACGAAATTCGACCCTTGATCGGTTACCATTTGGCAGGGATATAGTCCAATACCCTGGAGCTGACCTATGGCTTCGAAAATATATTTTTTCAAAACATCTCCTTTGCACGATTTGTGCACAAAAAAATACGCTAAGGGATGCGTCCAAGACTCCCCACCAATGCCTTGGACGAAAATTGTTAAGACACTGGAAGCCACTCTGGAGGTACGATTTTCGTCTCCATAGTCCTCCAGTCCTATAATTGAGTCCCTATTCCTCTCATCATCCATTCCTATTCCTCACATCTTCCATCAGTAAGGTATTTATCCGTTTGTGTTTGCCTACTATTAGCCCAAGTTTTAAGAAGAGAGTGACCTAAAGAAGAATTTACTTCATCATGTGAAGCGGGTGGAAGGGACTCTTCTAAGGAATCTTCAACAATATTTGAGGTTGAAGCCCTTTCTGCCTCTTTGGGCGAAGCAAGTACCGGTTGAAAATCTTCGACGCCTAACTCTATTACAGAGTCTTGTGCGTTTCGGTCAACTAAAATATCTGCTTCTATAATACTACCTAAGTAATTTTCCCTATCAACTGTCACTGGGGGGCGAACATACTCTTAAATTAATGTCCGGAACTGCCCATCTATAGAGGATCCGTCCCCCTCTCACCTTGTGGGAAAAATGCCTTTGGCATGCGAAAATAAATTTTGCTGTCGAGCCAGTCACACCCAACAGCCGTAACCATTCACGCCGCCTAGTAAAAATAAAAATTCATGCATTACATTTAGGCTGCATTTCTTTATTCATTCTGAACGTTTGGAATAAACTTTTTTGTTTACTTATTCTTTAGAACGTTCCTGATGATATGAACGTATATTTCAAAGGCATTCTGTTTATTCCGGATGAGAAATGGGATTATCCGGAATGTATAAAGAAACGCAGCCTTAATGTATGCACATATGGTCTTCTCTTCTTCATATCGCACACCACCTTCAAAGTGACACAACTCAAAATTTGGCATTTTTGATATTATGTGTAAAAAATTTACACCGAGCATTTATTTACCTTTCAGCAAAAGATGGAACAAATTTTTGTTATAATTTGATGAAAAAAACCTAAGGTAAAGTTTTCCTTGCCCATATGATTAGCATGTACTACGAAATAGTTTTTCACATTTTATGACGAAACTGTTATATTGAGTTGTGTCACCTTTGAAGATCGTGTGCGATACACATACTTATGTGGATTCATATGTACATACATATATAAGTGAGCAAAAAAGTGCAAGGTACTATGTAACTCATTATTAATCAGAGATTAAGTTAGTATAAAATTAGGGTTTCTCCAAGTAAATGCATATTAGTTGAAATTTTAATTTTTCTCTAAAAGCAAATGAGAATGTAACATGGGAAAGCAAAAACTGTAGTTTAAAAAGTTAGTGGGATGTAAAAACAAAAAAGCAAGTCAACAAACACTTTTCTGTAATTCCAATAACCACAGAACCCTGTTTCATATTTTTTCGAAGCTGCACAAAACCCTGGTCACGGAACAGCACCTCGGAACCCTGGGTTTTCCCGTTATTTTTTCCCGAATTATTTCATTCGGGTCGTAGTTTGCAGCTTCGGGCCGTTCGGTTTTGCTTGCCATATTGGCTGCCATATTGTTCACACTGTCATCGCCATATTGAACACCCTGTCAACTAGCTGTCAACCCTAAGATATCTCACTTGTATTCTTCCACAATGGTTTTGCCCATCACATGATTCAATAATACAAGGTTAGATAATTATTGACAGCTGCGGTTTGACACTCCCTTAGAAAAGGTTGCATTTGCGAAAGACAGAGAAAGGGCAAGAACGCAATCCCTTTCCTTTGTAAATTCTAATGTATTTGCAGGAAATCTGGCATTTTAAACGAAATATTGAACGTAATATTGATTTACCTACGTGAATTACGTAATTTATATGCTATTTAGCTGTATAAAAAATGCAAAATGACTCAAAATTAAAATAAGACTACTATGAAATTGATGTAAACATCCAATGCTTATGTTTTCATCAGTTAAATATGCTTCATATGCATAAACAAATAAACATATTGCACAAAAGCTTATACTTTTATTTCACACCAAAGCTACTCTGTTTCCAAGTAAATTTGCAAAGAAGCAACACGGTGCCACTGCTAAGGGAGCGGTGCGAGAGAGACAACTGTCAGTTTATCGAACCTTGTATTATTGAATCATGGGCACATTTGGTGTGAAATAAAAGTATA